CTGCCTAAAAAGGATCCAGACAAAATAGTTCGAATACCGATTGAATAAATGGCCGACTGATCGTCTATCCTGGAAACAGACAACCAGTCGTCCAGGGGCATAGGCGGCGTACTAATAGGCGGCGTACTAACTATCCGTACCTGTCTGCAACGTTCGGCCATGTACAACAGTCGGTCTAGTAAACAATGGGATATTAGATATGGAATACTTGGACAAATTTGAAGCAAAACAAAAATTCATTAAAAATAAGCCGGTCATTAAAGACCAGCAAAATATTCAAAGCCCCGGCCCCCTGGCCGGGTAAATACAAAGCAAACGGCACGCAGGCCGTGGAAAAAATACAGTAAGCTTAAGAAGGGGGCAGTTCAGTATTAGCAGCTGCCGCCTGGTCAGCACTCTTCTTGCTGGACTCGGCTTCAGCTGCATCCTCTTTTGATGCCTTACCCCCAAGTGGCACAAGCGCCACAACCGGCTCTTCCTCCTCCTCCAACGCATCTCCCAACGCCTCTTCTTCAGAAGCCGCCAGGATCTCTTGATTATATGTTTCCGAACACTGGCGGTACGTTCTTTCCCAAGAGGCAAAGTCGGCATTGGGGAACAGGCGGCCCCAGGTCATGCGCTGGATTTGAGCGGAGTCTTCCATCATCTCCCGGACGAGCTCTTTCTTCTCTTGCTCTGCCTTTTCCGAGAGCTCTTGGGTAAGACTCTTCTCTTGGCTCACCAGGCGTTCTTTTACGTTGGCCAAGGATTTCTCCATGGCTTCGTAAGAGTACATTTTTTGGCGAAGAGGTTTCAGCTCGGCCTTAAGATTTGTGATGGTCGCCTCCAGCTCGTCATTTTTCTTCTGGGCCGCCTCTAACTGAGCCCGAACAGCGGCGGTAGCCTGCGCCTGATAATAAAGAATATCAATGGTCAGTACTTCATTTTGGGCAATTTGAAACATTGCCTTATCACAGTTAGAGGCGGCCATAGCTTTTGCAGCCTTTACCTCTTTGTTTTTCCGATCAAGCGGCTTGCGAAGGCTGTTAACTCGGAGCAGGGCCTAAGTATAAAAAAAAACAGGCGTCAGTTTCCAAACAAAAAAGATAACAGGCGTCCTGGAATTCAAATACTCAAAAAGTATACCTCAGCAAGGACCCCTGCAATCCCATCAAGGTCAAGGGTGCCGGCACCCCTGACCGCCTCCCTTTCAGATGGAGGAACTACTTTGATCATGGACTTGGCTACCTCAACCAAGTCAAGCCCCTGAGGGCCGGCTGCATCAAGCGTAAAAAAGCAAGTTAGACCTAGTCAAGAAGGAAGCAAGTGTAAAAGTTTTTACAAGTAATTGTCCATACTTCTAGGCGGCTCCGCCGGGGTTTTAGAAGAAGTGGCCGGCTGCTTCTCAGCCGCCACTGTTTTCATGGAAGACCCAGGAGAGCTTGCAACAGTCGTCCTCCGGGCCTTGGGGTCCGGCTGTTGCGAGGAAGAAGCTCTTGGAGTGCCCGACTGAAAATAAAAAGAGTTAGTATATGCATAAGACAACTCCCAAAAGAGGAAGAGTTTCGAAGCCTACCAAGGGTGCCCCCTTGTTGGGGGAGTCGGTACAAGACTGTTGCATGAGAGAGGCCCGCAACATGGCCGCCGCAGTCTTGGATGCTGTTATTTTACTCATGGCGTCAGCTGCAAAAAATAAACAGCAAAGTTAGTAAAGATCCCAAGTAAACAAAGCGTGAAAAAACAGAGTATTTGACAGGCCGACTACCTCTAGAGCACCGACTGCTGAGGCCACAGGCGGCCAAAAAGTACTCGTCATAGAGCCACTTGAAGCTCGGGACGCAGTTTAGGGGTACTTGCTCTCGTACCCCTGAAGTAGAGTTCACCCTAGTCTCTACTTTGAAGAGTCCTTTGTCTAGGATCTCTTTTTTAGCCTTTGGGGGAACAGGCGGCATGCTGCGGCCGCCTGCGAGAAGAGGCGGATCCCTATTCCACTTGTTAAAGCGTTTGTTCAGCTCTGTGTCTGAACCCTCGATGATAAGGAAGGTGTTCCGCCAATCCTTCCATTTGTTCGCCTTACCTCTCGTCATGAGTTAGCCCCTATGGCTTGTTAATTGATACCAGCCGGTACCTCCCGACTTAGGGGTCCGGCTGAGATAGTTCATGTGGGCGAAAGCCTCAAAGCTTGGCTCCACCCCGTACATTTCGCACCCGGCCACATAGCCGAGTACGTTTACCCAAGAGTTGGGGGCTAACTGCCATAACCCCAAATCATACCCATCTAAAATCCGCTGAACAGCCGGATGTAATGGGAAGCGCAGTCCAGCTTTGATGGCCGCCACATAGCAGCCAAAGCAGCCGTCATCATAGCTGGTACCAGCCGGCCAGACGACAGTGTCTTCTGGATCCGACACGAACAGTAAAAATTCCGGGCCCATTCTGTGGTTAGCTATAAAGCTCTCCACTTTGTCTTGCATGGTTGCTATCCGGCCCCGGGGTACCGTGCAGTAGTAGGGGGTGTTTTCCTCTCTGTAAGAGGCGGACGGCTCCGCCCAATTGTCCCCCTTCTCAACTGCATGAGAAAGCCTCGCCTCTTGTAGGCGGTTGTTTCTTTCTTCTGAGCCTGGAGAAGCGTGGCCAGAAGAGCTGGACTCGGACTCGTCCTCTGACGAGTCCGAAGAGGACGACTCCTCCCCTCTCCCAGAGGGGCCCGCCTCCTCTCCCTTAGAAGGAGCAGGAGGAAAATTAGACATATCAACGGTAAAATGGGAAGGGACCACCTTGACCCCTCCCTCAGAACTGTCGGCTGTCAAGCCGCTTTGCTTCACTTCTACATCTGGCGCCTGGTCAGATGTTTCACTAATGAGCACCCTTTGGGAGGAGCCGTCCGAGTTTGAGATCATAGCAATCTTTTTCGTTCTGGCCATCACGTTCTGCATAGACACAGATACAGTCGGACTTTGTATAAAGGGCAAAGATGGGTCCAGAAAAGGGCAGGCGGCACTCCTAGTCCTAGATTCAGCCGTCCCCGGTGACCGGCTGATCACTAACTTAGGTCGTGTCGTGTGCTTCCGTGGTGCCATTTCAAAAAACAAAAAGAAAATTAAGAGTAAGAGAACTGAGTTACCTGAACGAGTGACGGTTGATGAAGTTCTGGAAATCCGGTGCAGTCGGCTTGTCAGAACAGGCGGTAGGCAGAAAAGGTCCGAAATGTCAGAGCAAGTTCAGGGGTCCGAATGTTCTCGCAAAGTTCTCAAATGTGAAAATGACCGAAGTCAGCACTTCCTTATATAGGCAAAGTGAGAAGGCGAAGGGTCGCTTCCAAATTCAAAATTTGGGCGGGAAAATCTCTCGGCCATTTGCAAGGTGACACCTGTAGCAGGCCGTCGCCTGTCACCGTGCGACACCTGTCACAGGTGACACGTGACCAGTCACGCGCCACCTGTGAGGGGCAAATGATTAGGGGATTTTTATCCACCAATCACCGTTTGACAAGTGGACCAACCAGGTTCCGCCACGTGTCCTTCACGTAGGCCAATAGGAGCCTGCCACGTGTCAATCACAGATACGTCCTCTACGGACCAATTGAGACACGCCACGTGTCCACCCATGCCAAATGGGAAAACCGGCCAACAAGGCCCAATCCTGTTTAGAGGCCCGGTCAGCCCTAGGTTTACCCTAAACCTAGAGAGTGGCACGCTTCTCAAGACTATAAATACTTAATTAATCCTCATTAAAGGGGATCAAGCAATTAATCTCACCTGAAGAACGGAACAGAACAGAAACGTTACGGAAGACACTAATAACCGGCTGATCTCGCTAACAAAGCAGATTACCTACATTAAACACTCTCACCTAGAGAGACCTTATTACTTTAATTTCCGTATTAATTACTCCTTAATCAGGTACTAACTTGACCGTTGGAGGCGGAGCTCTCAGGAGTCTCCGTTATTTTGCAGGTACAGGCGTCCGGTTCCAGTCTCGGAATTGTAACTCTCCCGCAGGACATCAGAAAACCCCGAAACAAGGCTAGTGTTATCAATCTATTTAAGTAGTACTAATTTTATAGTGAAAATAAGTCATGCAAATGAAGAATTGAGCTTGTAGGCTAGTCTATGTATAACATTCACAATAAATAAAAAAGTACTCAAAAGTAAACCCAATAATCTTAAAAGTAAATAAAATAATCTATAAAGTAACTGCAATAAAGCCTTTAGTTGTGGTAACATAGTTTTGTTCTTTTATTTCGTATCTGGGTAGGGGTTGGAGTTGGAAATGGGGCATGTCACTGTTTGGTGATAAAGTGTTGAACTCAAAATACCTTAGTTCAAAAGTAAATAAAAAAGGCTAAAAAGTAAATTAAAACATCATTAAAGTAAATAAATAATATTACTTTTGCTCATGCTTCTGCTGCTCCTCCTGCACATGCTGCACTCTTACTCACAGCAGTTTTCCGTTTCGCTCAACTTTAAGAACTCCCGAGCAGCAGGCAGCAGAGCAAAAATTGCATAGCAGTAGCAGCAAGCCATGGCAGGGCCAGCAGCTGTAGCAACAGCCTAGGCCGGGCCAGCAGTAGCAGTGGTAGGGCTTACAGGGCAGCAGCTGCAGCCTTGGTAGGGCCTGCGTGGCAGGGCAACGGCACTCAACCCGATCATTTACATATGTTTGAGTGGGGCGGGCTATTAGGCTTGGGACAGTGATCATGGATGAGTTGGATAAGGTTGTAGCAGTTGGATACTACACTTCTCCTGCAATTGCTGAAGCTCTCGCATTAAGATACGACCTCCAACTAGCAAGAATATTGGGGTATTTAAAAGTAAATAAAAAAGAGGATATTTTGGATTTTAACACCTTACAAAAGGCTGAAAATGTTTTTTAACACCCCCCAAAAAAAAACTTTTATTTTAACACCTCCCAAAAATATAAAAGTTGGAAGTTAACACCAAAATCCATCTTCCGTTAACAGAACTGTTAGTGGGGCCCACCCCAACGGATATATTTTTAAAAGATCTGTATATAAGAACCATTCTTCCACGATTCTTGCACGATATATAAGAACCATTCTTGCACGATTCTCCCCCAATGAACGAAATTGTTGTTCTTATTGAATAGCAGCAGCGCATTGCATTGTTGCACGATACTTGAAACAATTCTTTCACGATTCTTCCACGATTTTTGAGAAGAGGAACAGATTGAAGCTGCTGAAACAGGTGAGTGCGGTCAATTGTTCGGTTGTTTGGTAATTATGGTTTAAATTCTCTTCAATTATTATTTGCAATTGTTTCGTACTCAGATTAATGGTTGGATTATGTTATGTACGCATCTAAATGCCCAATTGCGAAATTAGGGTTCGTCAGAAATTGAATTTGGGGCTTTTCGTATTATGAAATTAAAAATGAATTTTGTTGCTGTCAATGTTAATTCGTCAGTGTACAAATCTGACGAATGTGACTGTCGATCTAAAATTGATGCAGATTATGTCGTTTGTTAGCTCTTCCCCTCCTGAGGCCAGAAAATGTAAGTGTGGTGTGCCAATGGCCAAGCTCACTAGCTGGACAAGGGAGAATCCAGGCAGGAAGTTCATATCATGTAAGTTTTATGACCCAATAACAGAAACAAGGGGTTGCAAAGCTTTCGAATGGGTTGATCAACCTGATGGAACAGATTGGCAAACAGGGGTTATCAACAACCTGTTGTTGGATAAGAAGCTGCTAAAGGGTGAAGTTAATGAATTGAAAAGGGAAGTTGATGAAATCAGTGGCCAAAGGAGGTGCCTACTTAATGAAGTTGATAATTTGAAGATGAGATGCAAGGCCTTGAACGCTGACAGGAAGAGAATGAACAGGGAGTGCAATGAAGGGAAGGTGTCTTCAATCAGCTGTTTTGGTTGGGTGGGCATGGCCATTTGTATAGGTTTGTCAATGGGTGTAATTTTCCTAATGGCTAGGGGTGTGTAATAGTAAGCTGTATTAAGTAGTTATAATTTCTTGTAATGACTTGAAGTGTTATAAATATGTCTTTTAATCAACCTATTTATGCCTTGTCTAAGTTCCTATTTATGCCTTGTCTTTTAATCAACCTATTTAAACATGTGAAACATTAAAACATGGGAAATATGTGAAACACTAAGATAGTTCAAGTACAGGTTGACAAAAGAACCTTACTTCAACATGTTTCAATGGCAATCAAAGCCATGCAACCATTACAATTCAATATCTAATTGTTCAAATTTGTTAAGGGAAGCCACTAAAAAACTAGCAAGTTACATAACCAGTCATGAGTACATAATAAAAGTTTGAAATTGTTCAACAGACATAATGTTTGATATCCAGCATGAGTACATCACTGAGTAAGGTTGTTGAGGGATTGCAGCCTGGCCCTTGTTACAACACCTGTGGCTGTTGTAGGCTGACTTGAGGAAGACCTTGTCTTTCTTTTTGGTTGGCTTGAGGCAGGCTGACTTGAGGAAGGCTGAGCTGAGGATGGCTGACTAGAGGATGGCTGAGCTGAGGAATGCTTAGCTGAGGAAGACTGTGGCTGTGGGCGCTTGCTGAATGGCAGACAACCTTCTTGCTCTTGAGGAAACTTTTTGTTTCCTATGCTGTTTGGTCCAGCCCCAATTGCACTCTATGACATGCATATAAAAATAAAAAGTCAATGGAAAAGACACATACATATATAAAACAAAGGGGGAGTTGGTGTAATGCTTGTGTTACCTTTTTAGCAGCCCTAATCTCTTTCTTCTTCCTCTCCTCCACCATCCAAGGAGTGTTCAGTGGGGGTCTGCCTGCTGACTTTATCAGCTCTGTAGCTGGTGCAGCAGGTACTTTGCAAGTCTTGGCATAATGCCTATATCCCCCACAGTTGCTGCATTGCTTCTTCCTCTTGGTACTTGCCTGACCACCTGAAGAAGAACATTCTCCTGGCTCAAGCTTCCTTTTTTTGCTCTTTGGTCTCCCAGGTTGCACCTTAACAGAAGGGGGTAGTGGTTCCCTCATTCTGACTGTCTCCCAGTGCTTTGGGCCAGGCATTGGTTGGACAGCTGGTTCATAAGCAGACCTGTATGTGTCCATGGTATAGTATGGGTCAACAACAGCCTCTATGTCACCCCTCATATCCAATATGCAGGCATAAGCATGAACACATGGAATGCCAGTGAGTTCCCAATGGTAACATGTGCAGGTCTCCTTGTCCAAATCAACCAACACCTGGTCATCCTTCAGCTGCACCTCAAATGTATTCCCTCTGGATGGCTGCACCACACAGGACCTAGCCACAAAGTCTATCCTCCCCAGAACATGCCTCACATATGGCACTAAGTTGTGTGTAATTGTTTTTGAATCCTCCCACTTTTCATTATTCCTGTTCATAATATACCTCCTCATCCATTCCATTTGGGTGAGGATAGGTTTATCTCTGGCAGGCCTAATGACTGCATTGAAAGTCTCACACATGTTGTTCAACAACATGTTGGACTTGCAGTTTGGTGTGAATGCATGTCTAGACCAATGGTGGGGAGGAATGTTGATTAAATACTCATATGCCTCTTCATCGTAGAAATTGAACCTAAATAGTTAAGAGGGAAACAGAAGCATTACCTTTTGCCTGTCAGACATGATGGTCAGCCCAGCTCCTTGATCATGTGTGAACATTGACATAAGGGATTCCAAGAACCAACCCCAAGTTTCCTGGTTTTCAATCTCCACTGTGGCCCAAGCTAGAGGAAACAAGTTGTTATTCCCATCCTTAGCAACTGCCACCAGAATTTGCCCAGGAAAGGCACCCTTGAGGTGACAACCATCCAACCCTATTAAAGGCCTACAACCCTTTGCAAATCCATCTCTCAATGGCCTTAAACAGATGAACATCCTCATGAACAATGGTGGCTCTGGCCTGTCAATACCATCAACAACAACATTGCACCCTGAACCAGGGTTGTACTTCATCACAGCTTTCCCATAATCCCACACCCTAGCATACTGCTCCCTAGCTGAACCAAATATCAGTAGTTTTGCCCTACACCTAGCTAGCCATGCCTTATAGTAACTCACATCAACTCCTAAATCATTCAAAATCCTAGCCCTAATCTCCTTAATTCTCCAACCAGGGTTACTCCTAAACTCTTCTAAATACCTCTCTGCTATGTATTCAGCAGTAAGCATCTTGTTCTTCTTTACTCTGAAGCAGGAATGGTCTAAATTCAAGGTTTTGATTTGCCAAGTTTGCTGCTTAACAAGTTTTGATGCAAACACCTTGAACTGACACTTTACCCCCCCCCCACACATGTACAAGCAGGCATTCTACAAGTGTAGCTATTGAACTCACAGCCACATCTATATCTACACTGAACTGTAATCCTTTTACTGTCATTATGCAAGTAGTAGAACTCATACCTGTTTTGAATGGCATGAAGTCTTAAGGCCCTCCTCAAGACTGAAGCATTACTGAATTTCTGATTTAACTTCAACTTGATTGGGTTGTCAAAGTCCACATCAGCATTAAACCAAGGAGCATAGTCCTGTTCCTCATCAGATCCACACAAACTCCTTGAATCATCTGAATCAGCATCACTTTCTGGATTCACCTTCGGTTTTCCAACATCCAAATCATTTCTCAACTCTACTCTCTTATCTTTGCCAACCCTGTCATCTACTGCACTCTCCAAACCTTTCCTAAGGCTCTTGTTCACTTTGGCCAAGATCTCCTTTGACCCTTCAATATACCATTCCTCATCCCCTTCATCAAATTCTTCTTCACCAGGTTCCCAATCTTGTCCCTCATCACTCAAATCTGAACTTGAATAACCAGATCCTTCACATCCATCATCCTTTTCTTCATCAAACCTCAACACTTTAGCATTAGCTGAGGCTTTCCTAGGTGGACTCTCCTCCCTTTGTTCAGTTTCTGTCTTCTTAAACCTAGGGCTCCTCCTAATAGTCGATGTATTTGAACTTTCTACCTTCTTATCCTTTTTTTTTGTCTTTGCAGGATTGGGTTGGGCCTCTTGTATGGGCTGACTAGGAGCTTCTGTTGTTACAAAAACCTCAACATACCCCTCTTCATTTACTGTCTCCAAAAGGCCCTTAACCTCTTCACTGTTAACTAGTTCCCTTTTCCCAGTGTTAAAGGTTTTCCCCTTCTGCCTATACCAACAGCTGTAATGCATAGGCACATCCATATCACCATTAACAAAACCATGAATTGCAGCTGTTCTAATCAAATGCACATCCAACTTAGATACTTGAACCTTCCTCTTCCAGTAACACCAACCACCACACCAACACAGCAGCTGCCTGTTTTTGGTTACTCTTTTAGGGACAAAAGCACCTCCCACTCTAAGGCAGATGTCAACCAAACTATCCTTGTCACCCATTATCTACCCACCAGTGAAAAACATATAAAACATATTAAAAGCCATGTAACTATACATGCACAATACGAATAAACAAATCCATCACAGCCACACAAACAAACACATAAAAAAATTGAAAATAAACATATACAAGCCAATGTAGGTGCTCAGTAACATAAATTAATCAACAAACCACACTTGCTAGTTTAATTAACAATAAACCACCTTAATTAATCTCTACTTTCAATTACGAAATCCAATTAACCTAAGTCGCATAGTCAGTTACAGAAATTGATTTATCAAGGCTTTCCTACTGTGGTCCCAAAATTTACCCTAATTACCCAATTATTGCAAGGTTTACAGCAATGAAGCACCAGTAATTGACGAAATTGCTATCAAAGGAGAGCAATTTTACCTTATTTTCTGTGAATTTCAAGCGGCTTTCGCACTTTTGTAGTTGAAGAAGATGATGAAGAAACCCTCCTGAGCTTATCTTCTCCAACGTTGACACCACCCTACACTCCACTTCTCAGCCAAGATCTCCTTTGGTTCAAAAGCGAAATCAATGAAGGTTCAGAAAGAATTCAATGCAGAAGGTTGCTGCGAATTCAATGAAGAAAGAAGTTTCGTGTTTTGCTGGGTGAAAATTGAAGTTCAAGCCAATTTGTGGGACCCACGTTAAATTTCCGTGACGGAAATCGTTAACTGGT